GTCTCACTTACTGTCCTCAACTATAGCAATTGAGATCATGGGAGATGATGTAGTTCATACACTTATGGTGAAACTCCAGCAGTGTAGGTGTGCTTACTACTACTACTTTCTTCTATTATTTTTACTACTATATCTTTATCTGTGATTAAAAATTGACAGCTACCTTAAGTAAATGGTTGGTTTTGAAAACAAAACCAATAAGCTGTGTATAGCTTTTGATCTGCTCTGCAATAATTGTGTTTTTCTCTGTACAAGCATTCCTTCTGTATGAATAGTGAGTGTTGGTGATAGGGTACTACTGGAGAAGGGGGAAGCATAGAAAAGGAAGGGCTTCACAGAAGCCATTTCTCATTGTTAACCGAGTTGTTTGTCTCCCATCTGCACCAGAAGTTGGTATGTTCTAAAATAGAACAGTCTCAAGGAGAATTGTTATTTGAAACTAGGGAGTGCACAGGAACTGTTCGTGTTTGAAGACATCAGATGTAGTTCAATCTACTTAGTTCCAGGCTGTCTTGACTAAATTGGGGATAACAAGTCTCTAGGATAGATTGCGATGTAAGTATCTATTTTAAAAATACTGGGGGTGGGGTGGAGTGGGTGGAGAGAGAAAAGTACTTTTGGTGGCTAGTTGAATAGTTTAACAACATAGTCTTACCACCATGCCTATATGGTCAGACTAAGTAGTGCTGCAACCTGACAAATGAGTGGAGTTAAACAAGGAAGCACTGCATTGTGTTGAGATGAAAAAGACCTGTGCCAGCTCAAGGTAGAAGGATGTTGTGTTTTACATAGGAAGATGTTAAGGTGGAAGGTGTCATTTCTCATGATGCACACTTGGAGAAACCAGGAAAATGCACATTTTCTGAAGTCTTTGTCCAAAATGGCTTTTGATAGTTTTTACTGTTGTATACTTTCAAGTCAAACCACTGTTTCTTCTACCATTAACCGCACAATCTGGCACCATAACATTGTACCTTACTATTGTGTGATATCTAGTTCATCAGTTCAAAACACAGTGCAAAAAGGAAGTTCGTGTTTCATTATTTGAACAATGTGGTTAGCAGGCTTCCGCAGGACTCTTATGAAATGGTAAACAAGCTTGGGTTTGTCATGTGTATTACTTGATTAAGCTGAAAAAACTCCTCCAAAACTTTGGGCTTTGAGTCTCAGGATCTTGCGTATTCTCTCAATGCAAAATTATTACATATTAATAACTAGTTTATATTATGGGAGCTTTAATTGCTACGGTTATTTTGTGATGCTACTTTCCAGTTTTCCTTATTTTTCCCTAGGTGTTTGTTTTTAATATGTTGACTGCCTAATCAGAAATTAAAATATTTATATTGCAACATAAATTGTTTCTTTAGAGGAAAATATAAAAATTAATGGCAGCACTCAACAGATAATCAGATTGTCAGCTGAATTTTGCTGCCGAAAAATAAAACTATGAGAAGAATTTAAAAAATGAATTTGTGACTTGTTTCCCATTTACAGCAGTACATAACAAACATGCACACAAGGTAGAACACTATCAAAACAAAGTACCTTCTGTAAAGCCTGTTTTGAAGAGGGTTCATGAGGACAAATGGCCACTGGGTTAGAGCAGTAAACTGGTTTTTGAGTTCAAGTGTCAATTTGCTGCAATTTGTGGTACCACAAGTTTACAAATTCCTATAATCTGCTCCTTGGGATATTTTCTCTCACTTTTTTTTTTATTTTGAGGGGAGAAGCTTGGGACCTGGTTTAGTTACTAACAGGTAACCCTCAACTAGACAAATAGTTTAATACTAAGCTATCTTGATTTAGGCTGGCCTTACTGTCTCTTGCTTTGAACACATTAGTTTACTAGTCTCAGTAATGTCAGTGACCTCTACTAAAATTTTGCACAGGAAAATACCTACTAATCTTGGAATTGCTCTGAACCTTACTGTCTGCATAACTAGAAGCTATTCTGTTCTGTGCATGTGTATAATAAATTGGAGGTGCAATGTGGAATATAAGAACTAAGGTGCAAATACAGGAAAAAAATAAAAGGCTCATACCTGACATGCATCTGGTAACATAAAATACATTTAGTTTTGAAGTTAGAGGTTGGTGTTGTTCTGATCTGACACATGTCTAAATCTTAAGTAATCTGCACTGATAAAGTTGATTTTTGAGTTACAGTGAATAAAAACAGAATTTGAACACTGCATAAGGAAGTGAAAAAGATGCATTACTAGAAACAAGGTTCTTGTAGGCTTAGTATCCCTGATCTTTTGTAGCATTCATAGGTAAAGCATTCTTCCCTTCATTATGAAATGAAAAACACAAACACAGGTTTAAACTTCATTTATTGAAAATCTGTTGCATAATTTTATTCAACATCTGCAAGTCTTAAAACATTTAATTCTGAATAAAAAATCCATTAAGAAAAAAATTTAGATTTATATTCTTCTTTGTAAATCTTACATAATCAAAAGCAATCTACTCTTCAAAATCCAAATGAAATTTTAGATGCAAGTTTAAATACCAAATCCTTCACCTATGATAAACATTCCAGCTGCCAAAGTAAAGCGCAATTACATTTACAGTTATTCCCTCTTTTCCTTTCTATAATGAACCTTGAATGGAGAGAAAATCGAGGTCTTAGTTGCAAAATAGTAATTTCTTCCATATGAACTCTGCTGACATTTGTGTTATTTTCCTTCTACCAGAGACTGCTATCTGTAATTGAAGAAACTGGTGCAGTACGTTCTTGTGTCTTTGAGAGAAGTCTGCATTCATGAGCAGCTTAAGCTCATACACAATACTGTTTTGCCACTTGGATGTATAAGCACTGTCAGAGGGGCACAGTAGAGCAGTTGGGGAAGGTAATCCTCCCAGGTGCCATTACAAAACTTGGCAGAGCTCATCTGTAGGAGGTCTAAGCTGAAATCTAGATTCTTAGTAACTTTGATAAGAGGTAGATGTTTTAGTCACAGCTTCACAGAGCTGGTTCAGCAGTCTGCAGCTGGTTTGTAGCATCCCATTCATGGTGACTCAAGGGAAAATGGATCTCCTCTTCCAGCAGAAGGAGCAGAGCCCTAGGAATCTTATTTGCCTGTCCTGAGGGACATGATCAGGACCTTGGAAGCTGACTTCACTGAGCTTTGGCTTATGCCCTTACATAAATGCATGGTATGTTGGTACTGGGAGATGTACAGGGAAATGGCAGAAAATTATTATTTGCCACTCTAGCAGAAAGAATTAATTTTTCCTAGACTTGGTCCTGATCACAGAAATAAGCTTTCTAATTTCAGGCAGTTTAGAATAGAAAGCATCAGGTGGAAAAACATGCAGAACCCTAAAGGGAAACAATTTTTGACACAGCTTTGAAGAAAGAAAGTAGCTTAACAGCCTCTGGAGCCCTCTATAACAAATTCTGTAAGGTATAATACTTTTGCTTATAAAAGCTATTTAGAAATATTATTGCTAGGTCCCATTGTGTGAAGTTGAAGTGCTGTTCCTATGTACTGTAGCCCTTGCTAGCATCTGCTTCATTTGAACAAAGTGTTTCTTCATGCATCTATTGACCCTGTTTTATAATTATAAAATAATTTTTAATCAAAGTCTCAAAGTTGCAATTCTGCTTTTCATACCCAGATGACCCACCAACAGGCAGAAGGCTAATATATAGGCTTTTTTAAAAACACTTTTTAAGAAAGGGTTTTTTAAAAACACTTGACAAGATGTAGTTAACACATTTATACAGGAAATTTCAGTGACTTGGCACATTGTAAAAAAGACTAGTTTTGAACAATTAGAAGTTAGTTCTCATATAGCAGTGGTTTTGGCAAAAATTCTCCACACCCTCACTCCACTATTAAAAGCCACTTCATGTAGAAATTATCAATTACTCATTTGAGGATACCGTTGCCTTAGTTAAGTGATATTACATATTCAGTTGATCCTAAAATTTGAAGCCTGTACTTAACTGCTCATGTAATTTCATGCCTTAGTCGTATAAACACCTAGATACAGAAACAATACTCATAGCTGTGTAAGTAGACTCAGTTCCTACAAGACTTGTGAGGATGTGCAAAAAGGGACAGTTTAGGTTAACAGCTTTGGTTTTTCATGCTTGTGTAAGTCATTAACTGCTACATTATTCCTAGATGTAGTAGACAAAAACTAAAAAAACAAATTGGCAAATAGGAGAGATTGAGACTACAAAAATTTATGTTGAGCTTTCATATACTGTAACCCCCCCTTAAAGGGAAAGAATGAGAAATGACTTCTTGAAAATTTTCTATTACAGTAACTAAGCCTTTGCAAACCGTACCTCAAGGTCTTTGTGCATTTGTTTGTATATCATAGTCACTTGAATATCATGTAACATCCAAAAAGGAAAATGGGGCTGTACAACAAGTAGAACAAAGACTTAGAGCAGGAATAGCAATTATTTTCTCCAATTCTTTTCAACACTGACTCAATTTCACATTGATCGTATCTTTCTGAAGTGCTGATGTCAGTCATCTTCTTACAAAAAGTTCTCATCTTGTTCTCACAATGTTAGCCCAGTGTTTCTCTGTGATGCTGTACAACAGAAGCTGAGGATTTTTAAAAACATGTAACTTTGAAAATAAATGACAGTACTACAAACTACCCCTCTGGGTCTCAATCGTGTAAACACTTAGGCATGTATGTAAATTCAATGTTTAACACCAAATTAACCAATGTCAAAGTTACCATTTCAAGTTTTATATGAACATGAAAAAAGTGACAGTATTAACATTACTTTGCATATGCGCCAAACATCCTCTGCACTATGCATGTTAGTCATTAACAAATGCTACAATTACAAAAAAATATTGTTAGTAGCACTTGCAAAAATGGAAGAGCTTGGGGCAAGGTATTCCATTCATGTTAAACAAGACCACCATTACCACAAAACAATCAAAAAGCCCAACATTAATTGAAAACCTGATGTCTAGTGCCTCTTCGAAAGAATCCGTAGGGTCATGTTTTCCTTTTGTTCTCCTTACTGTAAGAGGTTATTGCTCCCCCTCTCCCCTCATACTTGTTACATGGTTATGATCATACTGAATATTAAGTTCTACTTTTCCTCTTATCTTCAAAGAGACTTTTCAGCATGTAAACTTGAACAGCTGATACCACCACCATTACTCCCAAGTTGACCATGGACCAGAAATTCACTCTGTCAAAGTTGCTTTCTTGTATATTTCTGTCACGAGCCTCAAACGCTCTGAGCAGGGTCTGAATCTGGACGCTTTTACTTAATCTGGCTTTGACACTGTTGATGGATTCCTGGTAAGTAACAAGAGTATTTTTAAAAGAAAAAAGAACACCTGAATTAATGCTTGTGCTTGCAACACATACAAAATACTGATACTTCATACTACCTATAATTTAATGTCTTGCCAAGTAGACAATTAAATTCACTTTAAAATATATAGCTCACCACAGTTTTCATTAATTTGTCTAGTTTTGTTTATTGTGCACCATCTAAAAAGGCTTAATTTAACATAGTATTAAGATTTTACAGTAATTAGTTTTTTCCCTTTTACAGGCTAGGGAGGTGAGAGAGAAATCCAACCTAAAATCAGTTTTTTAATACTCAGTGTATTTTGGTGAACAGTGATTCCAGGTATTCAGAGAAGTAAAAAGCAGTGATCTGTGCAGAACTAGTCTCAAAACAAAAATTATGTACTAGCAGACAAATGCAGGTTTTTTTTTCTGCTGCATAATCAAATTAAGTAATTTTTTAATGCCAGCTACCATCAAAACTGTAGCTGTAGCAAAAGAACAGTATTACATTCTCATCATCTTATGCTTTCCCTGTAGTAGCTATAAACTGCTGCTTCAGCTTGGATACTAAAGCAGAATGTTGACAATAAATTGTGAGTAGGACAACTGGAGGTACTAGAGAATCAGAGGAAGTACATAGACACTCTTGCCATAGTAACAGCAGCTCAAGATTCATTCCTTATTCTGCATTTATGAAATAAACACCTAGTCCTATTATCTGTTAAAGTTTCATCCACAACATTATATATAGTCACAACCTAAAAGCTGATTTAATGAAGTGCTGATTTATGCTCTTGATATAATTATATTTCTTGATATAATTATGGGTTCCTGAAGTAACTTAGTGAGAAAATTAAAATGTGCAGTAATAGGAGCCTAGAAATTTTTTTTTTTTAAAATCATTTGCAGTAACATTTTCTGCATGGACATTTTTCTCTGTTGCACATTTAATAAGTATTTCAAAACAGCTATTTTATGATAATAAAGTTCACGTGTTACACAATTAAAAACATCAATACTATAAAAGAGCTTTAAAAATAAGAAAATCCCCCATTTTCCCCAGCAACTGTGTTGTCTTAAAAAACTTAAACTACTTATATATTTATTGTAAGTCCTCACAGAACTTGCAAGTAAAGTGATAACTTGACAAAGTAAACTGTCATCAAATACTAATGTTAACTTTACAAAAATTACCTACTTCATAAGATCTGCAAGGCTCTCAAAGACAAGCTCTGCCATTTCTTTTCCTTTTGGAAGAGATACTAGTGTATGTACACAATCATATCTATCATAGCTATCATATCTATTCAAGTATTTCTTGTAATTAGCAAGAGACGGATTTTCTTCACAATTTCCTCTATAAATTTTGTTTTTTCTAATTGTCTTGATTGCTAATTTTAAAGAAGATAGGGCCAGCTTTTCATATTCTGTGTTTGGTTTTAACTAGTTAAAAGTGTACTGTATACCTATCTTAAACATGAAGTTTGTTTTGTTATTTAAAAATCTGGATTTTAATACAATAAGTAAGTATAAACAACGTCATTCTCTACACCAGTGTATTCAGTGTTTGTGGATGTTGGTTTCATTTTGAGATACCTGTTGTCTGTAGCTATGAGCAAACAAACAGTGGCTTATTGCATCATAGCAAGCACTAAGGACAGTACAGGACTATTCTATTTCTAGAGTAATTTCAACATTTAGTGATCATCAAAGGGAATAAAAGATTTGACTTGGTGGTGGCCTTCATCCTGCATCAAACAGGGTCAGTGTACAGTTTAAGGAAACATTACCATTCATAGAATGTCTGCAAAGGTGAACCTGCAGTGTAGTATAGATTAACTCCTGTCCTCTTTATTTGTTAGAAAAGTTCTAACTAAAATTCCTTTGGGAAAAAACCCAAGAGAATATAAGTTACTGAAGACAGAAATATTAATCCATATACTGCTTGGGGCACTTCTGCAAAGATGGGAAGAAGAGGCTAACGCAGTACTTCATTTTCAAATGTTAAAAATCAATGCAGTGATTACAACTACATCATTAGGATCAAGCAATACTTTAATACTATAAATATTCATTTCATTGCTGCTAGGGAAAATGTCCCATATTTGCAGTAGGAAGAAAGAGGTATTGGAAATGGTGACTCTGAGAGCTAGGTGTTTTTTTTCTTGCCGATTAAGGGTCTAATCTAAAAATATTCTCAAGTGTCTGTGGGGAAGCAATATATAAATGGTATAGTTTCCAGGATTATACACCAGACTAAGGCAGAATGGCTAAATGACAGTTATGTTTTTTCCAAATGTTCTTACACTGAAAAGAATTAAAGATCAAGTACTAACCAGAATGTCTTCCAATTTCATATCTAGGAGATCTGTGCCTGTAACATACTTCTTCCAGTCTTCCTGATCTTGTCCATCTTCTCCCATATTGTCCAGGATCAGTTCAAAGAAAATCACCTTTTCAGAAATGGTACTGAATGTGTTGTCAAAGCAGAACATGTAATCCCCATCTTCTGTTTCTACCCTGTGTATATAAGTAAAATGTCATTAAACTAACTACAGTTTTTGTGCTGGTTCTCAAAAAGTGAGTTTTTATAAGAAAATCTTCCTCTTTAAGACTGACAATCATGCAATTAGAAATAACCGAATATACTTTTTATATAAAAACATGAACTCTAAAGACACATTGCACAAGTCATAGCAAAACAACCCCACTGACTCTTAAGGCTTAAAATGACAAAATCAGCAGCTTACTTCCATGTTCCATTATTGGCATTTTGAATCATGGTTAATCATTACAAAAAAGCTGTAATATGAGTAGGATTCTTATAGTAAAATTACAGTAATTACTACATATTTTGATAAATGATCTAGAAAAATAGGAGACTTTTCAGTGTATTTACATGACTGACAAGATCTTTTGATATTACATGTGGAGACCTTTTCCAACTCCACAATAGTTAGTTTTGTTCACTGACCATTAACAACTATCATTAAAACAAAAACATCCTTCACTTCATGATAAGATCCGTGTAAAAAGCATTCAGTGTTTATAAAAAGGTAATTAGTATTCTCAAACTGTCCTATTAGAAAGTCTTTTAATCTTAAAAGATTCCTAAAACTGTCCTATTAAAAGTCTTTTAAGTAATACTAAGGAATAAAAAATACTCAACCTTTCTGTTTTCTTTAACAAATTTAACTATAATAAAAGTACTTTATGGAACACTTCTAAGTTTGAAGATTTTAAACTTACGTATGTACTCCATCTGATTTTCTTTCATCAAAAACTAGAGTTTCACCTTTTGGAGACAGCAGATGAAAATCAACATCTAATCCTGCTCCATCTAGAACCTGTGAAACGAAAAAACCCAACCTTCAACCAGTGTCATTCTGGATGGCAACAATTTTAGGGAAGGCAATTATTTTTAGGTAAGGGAACCAACATAAAAAGAATCTTACAGTTGAATCTGGCCATGAATTCACACCATGTTAATTAGAAACAGATTAAAAACTGGCTTAACCCAAAAGCATTTTAGCCATTTCAAATCTTAAACTACATATGATCTAATTATGCTAGGTTAGGTTTATACTGAGCCTTTCCCTAATTGCTTTTAAGAATGTGTGTAATTTTGTCAACAGGCAGGGTTAGCCAACCTGTACAAATACCAGCAGATGGCTAAATCTAGCACTACTACGGCAGACCTCAAAAATGGTTAAGTACCAGCCCTAGTTCAGTGGTAAAAATTTTATAACAAAGGTCTGCCACTTTTATATACATACACATATATATTTGGACAAGCATACAGTCTATGCAGCATCCTCTTTGCTGGGTGAATTAACAGTGCAGAAGACACAACTACATTTCTTACGCCAAAGCTGTACCACAAACCTCACCTTTTGATGCAGATTTAAGGTCTGAATTCTCCCAAAGCACTCCCATTTCCCAAAGGTAGGAAGCTAAATGCCTGCAATTCCTTCTAAGCGTGTAATAAGCGCATACAGCATTATAAAACTGTGCTCTTTAACTCTGTAACATGGCTACAGATGTATCACCACATCTGTTGTGTTGTAAAAATTATCTGTAGGGAAAGTAGTAGCTACATAAGGCAGCTGAGTGGGATCATTTTTATGACATTACTTAGGTCTATTGTAGGGGAATTTTTTGCTGCTTGTTTTCCAGTGAGCTATTTAAGTACAGCAGTCTGCTCCTGCTGAAATTGAGGGCAAAGTTTACACTGGAGACTTACCAAAAACAGAGAAAGGACAAGGAAAATCAGTAGCTAACAGCTGATCAAATTAAAAACCATAGTGATGCACCTTTAGGGCTATGATATAATCTAAACACCCAAAACAAAACTTTGTATCAGCATAGTTATGTCTTTGGAGAATGACCTGCATCCTACATTAAATATTAACAATTAAGGATAATTAAGTACAAAATAAATCTATTTCTAATGACATACAGCGCTCCTTTTCTACACATTCAAATAGAAAGATGAATCCTTACAGTTAGCAGTAGTGCTAAGAAATCTATGTCTGAGTAAAAATAGTTATACACACTTGTTATAAAATAAAATTATTTTGATTATGATTAAAATAAATCCCTACTTTGCCTGTGCAAAATAAACTGCTATTTTGCCTAGGGCTCTGAACAAAGCTTGGACAGGACACCTCAATCTTTCATTTGTGTTCAGTTCTGCATGTAACAGTAATTAGAAAATAATCAGGAATTTCAGCTTTGTAATTCTAGTTGGGAAACAGAGGGGAGTAAAAGGGGGCAGGGGAGAGAGACAGATCCCAGCCAATTCTGTGGCACAGTAGCAGGATGGGAAGACATTCACTGTAGCTTCCCTCACTATGCCTGTTCTACTGAAAAAGGTCTTTTATTTTAAGAAAAGAAAAAAAAAGGCGGCGGAGATCTTTCCCACAGATACCTGAGAACTCAACTCTTTCCCAAGGATATCAAGACTTTAAAGTTTTTCTAGTTAAATATGGTTGTTTCTGAAAACTTTCATAACTGAGATAAAAGGTGTTAAGTATCAACACAAAGGTAGGTAAGGGTTTTGTGCATCAGCAACAATTTTGTTTATGCTTTAGAGCTACTACACAAGGTCACAGACGTTAACTTCGTTAATTTTTGCTCTTTTAAAAGATAGCAACTTCAGATCTCAGGGAAAAAAAAAATCTGGTAGAACAATTTTACAAAGGCTGTAAAAGTTTGGGTTTTTTCCTCCTAAAGATACAGCTTTTAACAGCGTGTAGCTCCAGCACGGCTCTGCGGGCGCTGCGCAGCGCCAGCAGAGCTCAGCACCGCGGCGGGCCGGGCAGGCAGC